GTGAAAGTAGAACGAAGACAAGGAAGGAGCTTCTTAACCAGATCTAGTAGAACAGCCAGAGCGAAAAGAGCCCAAGGCACAGCGAATGGCGAAGGCAAGCAGACTGGGGAAATGGCGGGCACTCTGCCCCTTTACACTGCAGAGGAGGGTGCAGAGTTCCCGCCAAAAACCATTAAAAACTGATCAAGTTTCCCGGCAACAGGCACTGCGCAGATGCAGCACCCATAATGTGTGATGCACAGAGGCCACGGTGAAGATGTGTCTATGTTAGTGTTCTCCCAAATTATCATCACTGTTATGAGTATTATTTCATTGCATTTATCTCCCAACTTTTTTCTTCTTGTGAGGAACACAGGGCAGCTTACATAGCTTCATTTTAACCCATGTGAGAACAGCAACCCTGCAAGAGGGGTTAAGCTGAGAGCGGGTGGCTGGCCCCGAGTCACCCAGGGAGCTCCATAGCTGAGTGGGGACTAGAATCTGGATCTCCCTGCTACCCAGTCCAGCATTCTGACCACTACACCACATTGGCTTTCATCTTATCCTCATCTTATGTGCATCTTATTCAGACGGCTTTCTGGGTTTAGGGACCTCAGCAGGCATTGCCTGTACCAGTGATGTGGGCTGAAAGGCTTTCCACAAAATTTCTAAAAATACATTGTTCCATGAAATAAATTAGTGATGCAACAAAAGAATGCCCATATATTGGCCAATTTTCAAAATTACACTGAACATATTGAATCCTTCTTCTCATATTCTGTCCACATGTTCCAATAACACATGGAGAAGGAGTGAGACTGTGGTAGCTGTCCCCATGCCTGACCTCAGTATGTTCCACAGAAGCTGAGAACAAGCCCAGAAAAAGCCATTATTTGGGGGGGAAAAACAGCTCTTTCTATGTGCCAGTGTTGTTATTATTGCTATTATTGATTTCATTTCTATACTGACCAATAACTGAAGGTCTCTGGGCAGTTTAAAGCAGTTCGTAATAACACAATAAAATGTCATCAGAATGTATAAGCATTGTAACATGAAAAGTTAAAAAGAGATAAAACAATGTGCAATGAAATCACCTGAGATGGGGATCTTCTCAAGTCTTGGATACCCAAGTATACTTTTAAAAGACTTAGCATAAAGGCCTGTCTTTACTTGGTGTTGAGAAGATGACAAGGCTGGTGGCAGGCAGGCATCACGGGCAGGTCATTCCATTAGTGGCTGGCCTCCACAAAGAAAGCCTTCCCTCTAGTTGCCGCCCTCCAAGCTTTCAACCCTGTTAACCACTTGCTATTCAGAGTGTGCATTTATTTTTTTACAATTCATACAAAGTACGGTGGAGTGCAACCTATAAATTACCAGATCTTAAATATTTACCACATCTTAATATTTCACTAATCATGATTATGATGATGATACTAAAAGTAATAGTAAAATAAAAAAATAAAATAGGTTATATTGCATTACTTTGAATATAGCCTTTAAATCAAAATAACTATGCTTTAGTGATTTTTTTTCTAAACAAATACCTAGGTTCATATAACAATGGCAGTTGCAAATAAGTTCACTTATTATATGATCATGTTTAGATCACTGGGGAAAATGTCATTTAATATTAACGTAAATAACACTTAAGTAATACTTTTTAAATGTTTGAGTGTTCAGGTTAAGTTTTTTGCCAGAAAAACCCAAGCCACTGGCCCATGTGCAAACACCTTGTCACAGCTGTAAAGTTTATTCCCATTATCTTTAAAAGTGAAAGCTATTCTGTGCTCCAGCAGAATCACAGTATACACAACACTGTGTCTAAGGTATGCAGAATATCGTTGCTTTCAAGGATACCCCTCAAAATACTCTTAGAATTTACTTAGGATATTGATCTGTGTGAACACTTCTGTTGTTGGTAATTAGCTTTTTAAAAATGAAATCAGTAATCTCAAACATTTCAACAAAACAATCATGAAAAGACTTTCCATTAAGTAAGCCATGCATGCAAGTACTCCCAGAATCACTGTGAAGAAGAAAATAAGAGTGTACTAGTAGCACAATGTTATGGGCATTTGGCTGAAAACTTCAGCGTCCTTCTTGAAATCAACTAGATCACAGTGAAATGTTGTTAGGGCAGCTACAATTTCATGCTGAATGGGGAAAGAAATGTGAGGGTCAGAAGTCTTTTCTTGCAGCTGGCAAACAGTTCACAGTAATCACAAAACAGAGAATGATCACAGAAGTGTATGCGGATATGCACATGACTGCGTAAGACTGGCCTTCAGTCTGGTTGTGCCACATGCCTAAGTTATAAAATGCCCAGTTTATGACAGTCATGAATGCATTTGATGGAATGGTGCAAAACAGCAAGCAAATGGTTTTTTAAAAAATTAGCAGTGAAAAATTATGGAGAAGTTAAAATCCCCTCACCTTATTACCCACTGTCCTTAGGAAGTTAGAATAAGTCATTAAAGAACATTAGATAGAAGAAACATTGAATTAGTACAATAACAACAATGAAATGTTAAGTCATACAACACAAAGAGAAACACAAAATTATGTCACACTTATGTGACATTATTATTCTCTCACCAAGTGTTTTTGGCACTTATTTGGATTAAATATTAAATATCCAATGTTATAATATTAAGCATATTTTCTACATGATCTCAATAATCTTCTGCTCCTGCTTTTTTCCAATGTTTTTCAAAAGAACCACATTGCTGAAATCTTAAATCCAAAGAAAATATTTTTGAATACAGCTGAAACATAGAACAAATGAAATCACTTGGATCTGCTTTCTGATCCTAGGAGCAGGTTTGGTCCCCACTATGCAATGAGAGTTCCATTCATTTCAACAGAGGAGCTGAATTTTGCATAGGCAGACCTGTTCTCTCCTTTGAAAAGAATGGAAAATCTTTACAGGTAGGATATTAGCAAGTGCATCTAAGCACACAAATTTCTGGATCATGGTGAATCAGCATGGCAAGCTTTATAGGAAATCACATTATACATATTTCTCACGAACTGAAATCTCTAAGTTTCACTGAAGTGTTTTTTTTTAACTGTATTGTACTGCTTCAGACTGCAAGTGGAAAGATCACAAGATTTAATACTCCATTAAAACAATAAACAAAAACCTTCCACATAGTAAACGGTATGTCAGAGAGAAGAATTCTAGTTTAAGCTCATCTCTTTCACACTGGTTTTCTTTGTGCAGGGTTATTTTCCACTAACTTTTTCTTTTGCAAGGGAACGTTCAACCATGAGAAGCACCACTGGCAATTGTGCATCACCTTTGTAGGAAACAGGCCTTACTGCAGCCATTCCCAATCTGGTGCTTTCCTTGGACTACAGCTCTAAGGGTTTCTGACCACTGGCCATGCTGGTTGGGCTTATGGGAATTCAAAACATCTGGAGGGCACCGAGCTGAAGAAGGCTGCCTTACAGGTTGTCTCCATGTCACCCTGAAAATTCAGCACTTTTTACTTCTTTATTTACATTATTTAAACAAATATTTATAGATTGTTGAAACATCATTGTACCCCATATATTAGCAATCAGCTCAGTCATTATAATCTTCTCCAAGTATTAATCTGAAGGAACTAAATTTAAATGAGGTTACCATTCATTAAGAACTATGGGGGCTCTCCTCCTGTGCAATTTCCACTGAAATAGAATGGGAATTGTGCAAAAACAAAGTACACTCTTGTACAGAGGGCCTTCCTCCTGTACCGTGCCTTTAATAACTAAGACATACAGTGTTACCTTGGCTCATGAACTCAATCCATTCCAGGACTCTTGTCGTGACCCAAATTGGTTGTGAGCCAAGTTAAATTTCCCCATAAGGTTCAGTGTAAATAAGGTTAATCAGTTCTGTAACTATTTTTTTTTTTTTAAATTAGAAAAATGTAAGCAAAGTGACAAAGAACAACAAAGATCCCGGCCATTCCCCCACACCCAAGCATGAGCGTGGCCATCTCCCCGCTCCCCCAGCATGACTGCAATCGTGCCTGTCATCCCTGCACACGCCCATCATCCCGGCGCGCTGGGGGGGAGACGGGCATGAATGTGGGTGTGCTGCGGGGGGAGAGATGGGTATGAACGCAGGTGCACTTGTGGGGAGATGGGCGCAATCATGCTAGGGGGGATATGGGCAAGATTGTGGTTGCGCTCATGCAGGAAAGATGGGCGCAATTATGGGCGTGTTCATGCAGGAAGGATGGGCATGATCTCGGCCATCTCCCCACTCCGGGGGGCGGGGGGAAGACTGCCACGATCGCAGTCACCACCCAATGTGGAGTTTATGACCTGAGTCAATTTTTTTATGAAATGTTTGTTTGCAACCCGATTTGGTTGTGAATTGAGGCGTTCGTGAACCGAGGTACCACTGTATTTGAATGGTACAATAACAAACACCTGGATTATCCAAACTTCCGGTAATAAGAGTGTAATTTAAGCAGACCTAAAATGGCATGGGGTCTTATGGAAGACATCTGGTCTATCGTGATAATCAGGTATTTTCAAGAGCAAAGAAACATGAAATCCCTAGTATGCTAATTCAGATCGGAACGTAATTTAGATTTCAAATTCTTCATGAGTGTTCACTGTCTCAGATGCTACCGCTAATTTTTAGCATGCAAATGCTCTGGGATACTGTAAATACACAAGTGCATCCAACATGAGGAAGCCTACCAATGGTACTTAGTTGTCCCTTTCTTTGTTACACCACCCACCCAAAGAAGTAAATAGAAGTGAATGATCAGAGGTATTGTGAGGCAACTAGAAATGGCAGAGTTTGACTCAAGATATAAAGTATGTGAGCCCACCTAATCTACAAATAGTTCCCCAGATTTCAGTTTGATCCCCATTGGGGCGGACTTGCTAGACAGAAGAGCTTCTATTTTACAAGGGTTTGTTTTAAACAGAACTTGAAAGGTTAAGAGTTGCAGTATTTCATAATGTACCATCCATGATCTTTTACAGAAAGTAAGAAAAAAGCTCGTGATGTTGCATACCATTGGCTTCTCTGACTTGACAGCTTTAACTTGGAGGCATTCTTCACGCTTTGAGGTAGTGTTGCTGAGGTCCTTTTGCTCACCAATTGCACCCTGAGTCTGATGGCCTGGGGATCTGGTTTGAGAATGGCTGCCTTGGTCTCTTGGTGGGGGATGCCTTGGGTGGATGTCTCCCCGCTGCTTCTTGGTGACATGTGCCTCAGGACCATGCACAGTCTTTACGTGCTTTCGGAGAGAACTGGGGTCCGTGTACCGCTTTGTGCAGCCTGGTATCTTGCAGACATAGGGCTTCTGTACAGGGAAATAAATGCTAATATTGGTTTGAGGCTCTTCCACAGAGCAGTTATCAATCTGTTTTACTGGTATGCAAAACTGCAGGATGTGAATGTTCTGTTCATCAAATAGCTGATTTTCTCTGATGCCATTTAGGGCCAAATTAGAGTATAGTAATAAGAGTACAGGTGCCACTTAGGGCCAAAACTGTGTATGCTAATTCAGGGAGAAAAGTCGGCTAATTCAGCTAGTTCTGGCTGAATATTCATTACAGTTCCTTTGTGCCCCACCCCGATGCCTGCCTGCAAGATTTCTGGGGAGAGATCATTAAATCCAGAACAGAGAAACTTCCCAAATGATACTTCTCTATAAGCCCCAAAGAACAGAAAAGGAAAATGAAGTGGTACAGATACATCTATATCTGTAGTGGCATCCAGATAGATATATAGTTATATATTTTAAGCCGACCTTAAATGGCATGGGAGCTTAGGGGAGGCATCTGTTCAATAGTGATAACCAGGCATTTTCAAGAACAAAGGAGCATGAAGTCCCTAGTATGCTAATTCAGATCTGAATGCAGTTTAGATTTCAGATTCTTTGTGACTGTTCACTGTCTTGGATGCTACCACAAAATTTTAGCATAACCCTAACCCTAACAGTTGGAAACCAAAAAAAGTGCAAAAACTGCATTGTATATAATCCGAATATGCAATAGAGCTTTGGGGAAGACAGAATGTCACACTAAATGTTTCTGCAAAGTTCTCATTCTCTTCTCAGATTTTCTAGTCCGAAGAAATAAACTCACCACTGACAAGATCTCTTAAGAGGTTACTCCCTCCCCAAAGGATTCAGCTGCTGTCTTAATCTTAGTTAATGCTGTCACTAACTAGCCAGCAGGTGTCACTAGTAAACAACACTAAAAAGTTTCTTTAGCATTCCTTCCTGCATGGCATTTTTCTTATTTAGATGAGTATTTCTGTGTCAGAAATAACATATATGATATATGAAGCTGGACTGTGTGTATTTGCTCAGAATATGCAGAATGGAAAGGTTCACACAAAACAATATTCAAGTTCTCTTATCCCCAACAGGTATATTATTAAATGGACAAAAATAGTTACATGTCAAGCAGCCCTTCAGAGTACTAGAAAACCCTCTAACTATGAATAATTAAATCAGACCGGATTTTGCTCTGATTATAAAGTATAGCTAAACCCCAAGTGTCATAAAAGTAATTCTGTGGAGTTGTATTTTTTGAGGAGCTGTCTCCTATGCATTTTACTGAAGCTGAAGCGAGCTTCAAAACAAGTTTGTGGTCGAGTATGAAAAGATTAAAAGGCAATGATTCCAGTGGATCTGATCATGTCTTTTAGATGGTCTCAGCCCATGCTTCAATTAGTGTTGCTCTTATGACCTAAAATATGTATCACTGTACTTGCACAGAATGGTCTATTAGCTACACATTTATAGGATTTATAGACTTAATGGGTTGTATCTAATGGTGTCCATGTGCCAGCAGAATGGCACCCATTAGGGAAGAGGTGCCCCTCTCCAAAGCTGCTCCAGAGTATTGGGAATCCCTCTAGAGCACATCAGGCAGGAGTGGGGCATCTGTTCTCCTGATGGATGTCCTTTTGCTAGCACAGGAATACCATTAGATACAACCCATGATGTCTATAAATCCTGTCAACCTGGCATGAAGTTGGGGCTTTAATGCTTTAGCTCATCTATGGTCCTGACCAGAATATTCACAATGGGAGGAAGGTTTCCTCTTGCTTAGAATTGCAGTTTATGATTGCCTTCTAAAATTAAATAAATATTTGGCCTTCAGAGAGAGATAAGAACCAGTTTTAAATTTGTTGGTTGGTTACTGTTTGCGTGACGTATGGAAGATACTGCCTGTAGTACCAACAACAACAAAATGCTGGTTTTCAAAAGTTGGGGATTCCATGAGCTTAGTAAAATTACAAATCCATCAAGCTTAGTGTAAAATAACTTCCAGGCTCAAAATGTAAATGACAGGCCAACTCTATCGCTCCCTCCCTCCATCTCAAGGAAATCTGAATCAAAGAGGAATGCTTACTACTTGAACATCACCTGATATAACACAGCCATTACAACAAAACAAGATCTTCTAAACAATCTGAGCTTGCATGCCAGTTATGCTACTTTACTCTGATGTACTTTTAGCACCTGTAATGATGTCATGGAAGGGACAGGAAATTTGCTAAGTTTGCTGTGGCTCAAAGGAAGTTGACACAACCTTCAGCTTTTCTTATACTGGGCAATGCCAAGCTAAGGGAGGAACTCTTTGGTTCTGCCCCATTATCCTAACACAGTGTGTAGAAATTACTTTTTCCAAGTAATCTCTTTCTAGTTTTGCACACCCATCAAAAATATATATAAATCACAACAATTAGTTATTGCCTGCCTACTGGCCTGCCCACCCTAGCAGGTTCATTTCTTCCTTTGTGTGTGTCTCGGAGTGTGTATTTTAACATTAAATTCTTTCAACAACCTTATGTCAAGGAATGCTCAGCATATCTTGCTGCCCATGTGCTTCCTTACCTCATTGGAATGTGTTCTGTTTTGGTGCTTGGCACGATCAGACGCATTCGAGAATGCCTTGTTGCAGCCCTCATGTTCGCAAACATATGGTTTCTCTCCAGTGTGAGATCTCAAGTGGGTTTTCAAGTTTTCTAGCCTGGAGTAGGCCTTTGTACAGCCTTCAAACTGCAAACAAGATGCAGATTTGGATTATTCTAAACACTTGGAGTTACAGGAAATATAATCTTGTTGGGTTGGAGGATCAGCCAATAAAATAACACCACATCAAAGAGAAAGCAGTTCCAAGATCTTGTTGTAATGGTAATGTGTTCAAGATTCCCCTTTTCTCTTTGGTTGACCCCATCGTAATCCTCAGATAAAAGAACATAAGATAACAGCATAGGAAGCAGAGGCTTTAACAGTGTAATGCGATTCTGAGCCCTGTGCATGCTTACCTGAGAGTTTGTCTCAATGAACACAGTGGCTACTTCAGAGGAAACATGCAGAGGCTTAAGCTGTCAACATTCATTCATTTTTCCTTGTCATCTCAAACATTCAGATAGAAGAAGTGACCTAAAAAGGGACTGATGGACCTATCTAAAAGTTCCTACCGATGGAACTTTCTTATGAAAGGTAGTGAGAGTTACTCACCTACCCAGGTTTCTTTATAAAGACTGGACAAATACATGCAAGATAACTCTACCAAGTCTATCTGTCATATTAAGTAGGTGGGACCATCACATTCAGAGGATGTATGCCTCTGAATAACCAAATCCTGGGGTAGGGCAGTTGCCTCCAAATCCTCACTTGTGGAAACAGGACTTTCCAAAGCCATCTGACCCAGCAGTTCCAGAAACAGAATGTTGAACTACAAAGAATCCTATATTCCCTTCCTGTTATTTTTATGAACTAAAATTATTCATGTCTTCAATATGCTTGAAGACAATCACACAAACAAATCAAATCACATTCTGATTTGAATCAGAAAACATTCACAGTGATGATGCTCCATTTTCTTCTTTCTGGGTTTTTTTTTTTTTTTTTTTAGCGATAGGACAATCTGAGCTGCATCTAAGTGCTTTTGTAATAGCATTATGATACTTTTATTTTCAACCTAATGTGATTTGACATTTTATTGCACACACTTTGTGAAAAACTTCTAGGTATTCTTTAGCCTTCTCTCTGCCCCAAAGAATGCGTGGTTACACTCACTGTGGCTATGCCACAGTTCACCACGGTCTCTGGAACAAATGTCCCTATCCTTCTGGGGCAGGTGGGCACATTTGGAAATTTGGAATTGCTATGAGCTGCACCACAAAACACCAATGGATCTTTGGCTGCATTTTATTCAGCAAAAGGTGCTTTTCAATGTTGATTTAATACCACAAGGTCTCTTTCATAAAGGATTGTTTAACTGGATAATTTCTGGCTCTGTAATACAGATAATGCTTATTTTAAACATATGTTTTGGCAATCTGTAGTAATTGCTTCTTTTTGGGAGGGGATTGTTGCACAGCTAACACTGGAGCAGTCCTCAAAATTCACCAAAGTATACGCTTTCAAATTATTTACGTGCTTCATGAAAATTCACAAATGGTCAGTGTAAATGGATTCTTCACACACTTTTGACAACTAAAAGAAACTGGATAGTACAACACTGGAAGGATAAACACTCACCTCACCTCCTCTATGCTATGCTTTGGGGACCTTCTATCACTTTCAATATTTGAACAGGTGGCATATAGACAACACCCTTGAATGGATACATGAATGTATGGCCTGTGCTGGTGATGCCAAGGTACAACTGCTAGAAAGTTGTGCATATTTCATATGTATTGATTGTTACAGATATACATAACTTCATGCATATATATTAAAAATGGAACAAGTTAAAATAAAAAGAAAAAAGTTGTGTGGGTTAGGGGCACTTTCTCCAGTGCCACAGGAGGCATGTTGGAGACTTCTGCTCAAGGTAATTTAGGAAGATATTTATAGAAAAGGTACTAGCACAAGTCCATTATTTTGCCAATGGCCAACTTCTGCACAGGAGCTTTCCATTAAAAATGGTAAGGCATTCCCAAATTGCATATGTGCAAAATGGAACAGAAAACAGATAGTTTGGGCTACTGGACTGATTTAGTGCTGTTTACTCACAGTGCATTTGTGTGGCTTTTCTCCTGTGTGCCTCCTCATGTGTACAACCAGCATGTACTGGGCTTTGAATGGCTTCTGCTCTCGAGAACAATCCAGCCATCGACATACAAACTCCTTCTTCTCCCCATGTATGTGGTCATTGTTGATATGCTGTGTGGATACAAACAAAGATCAGTCCCACTGGTCTTTTATCTCAGCTTAAGCACCACTATGACAAGGTCCCATTGGCCTACGATCCCAAAACTTGAAAATGCAAAACACAATGATAATTTTATACACTGAATATTGACTTAGTGCTTGACTTCATATTAACACCTATTCATTATTACATTTATATCTCATTTTGTCCCTTTCACAAGGAACCCAAGAATACTACATGATCCTATCATATCACTTTTATCCTTGCAGCAAACCTGTGAGGAAGGATATACTTTCTTCTCAAGTTAATGCATTTTGATGGATGCCAACTGTTTTGCATAATAGGACACTGAGGAATCTATTAACTCAGGTAACTTTCTCAACTATGGGAATGCATCACTTTTGAGCCTTATAATCCCATTGCTCAGCCTGTAAAATTGAGAAATGTTTTGGATTTTAATGTAAGAAACAACAAAATGACTATCTCAGAAGATAGAAGAGCAATGTGCAATGAACTGTTGTACATTCTGCCCATCTAGGTCCTGGGCAGAAGACCCTGTTGGTAAAGGATGAATGGGGGACAGAATTGAAAGATATTCATTTTAACCACATTGCAACATTGCACCCCAAAATGCAGCACTTACCTTTTCCATGACAGTGACACCTGTGATTCAATAACTAGTTTTGACGTATATCAGCCTCATTTCCTAGCTAAGGCTGGTTCTCTCTCTAAGGCCAGTTTTTTTTTAATCAACCTCTGGCATAAGTAAAGCCCCTTCACCTTTACTTAATGTTCTCATCTAACTTTATTCAATGTTTCTCATGAACTCCCTGGACTTATGGCAATATCCTGTGGCATATGACTTCAATTCCATTTAAGTGATACACACAGAATTTCACCTGAACAAACTGCATTCAATATGAGTTATCTGGCCATACCAGATTGAGAGGATACTCTGAATATGATGCTTCAAATATTTTCAGATAAAATGTATGCTATCGTCCCACTAAATTTGAAATAAAAGTTAGAATTTATGTCATCATGAAAACATATGATTGTTATCACATAATAGCCCAAACATGTGAACAACTATCATCTATACAACCCTCCTATAACATGTATGATGCATTAGTCAACAGATCATTTGATGATTAGATGGCCTATTAATGCAATTTTCCTCCAAGAGAAGTATGCATTTGAAATTAAGTTTGAAGATCCAACATTCAAAGGAAAATTAGCAAAACTGGAACATGTATCAATATGGAGTAGTAGCAACACTTTATGTAACCCCTCAGAACAGGGTCAGGCAACTTTTTTTCCTATAAAGGCATGTTGAACTACTGGGAGAATCCAGTGGATGCCATATTCCATGGTGGGCAGAACCCAAGTCCAATGTGAATGCCATTTGGCCAAGGGATGCACTTAGCTCATGGGGTCCATTTAGACTGTTCAAAGCTTTTCACCTGTTTTCCACAATCAAAACAGCACAACGTAGCTTATCAAAGCCATGGTGGGCTGTGATGCATGAAAATGTAACACCCAGCCATGAAATGTGGTGCCATGTGAACCCAGCCACCTGGGGTTGTTTGAGGGTTAAATAAACTTAATAACAGACCATGACAGAAGACCATGGCTTATGTGAGCATTGTTGTTTAATGTTCCCACAACTTTTGCTAGCTGGGTTTCTACAACATAACAAGCAGTGAGTGCTGAATATTCAAACCTCATCAGGTACTGTATATCATTTTAAGCCACAGTGCATTATTTTAATTGTTTAAACTAGCTCATAATCTCAAAATCCTTATTAAAACCTTTCAAAGCCAATAGCTTTCCCATAGTGCAGATGGAGGGGCAGAAGCAAAGCTGGCTGATTTGCCTAAACTCACTAGTGAGTTTCTGGCAAAGTTCCAGTTCATCACGGAGTGTCTTACAAGATAATTACATGTTAATTTGAATGTGTTACTTGAGGAACCCTCTGAGTTTTCTTTAAAAAATAGAGGGGGGGGATCCCCCAGAGGACAATTCTGATTGGAACCATATTCTGTAGGGAGGCAAGGTTTCACTTTGGCTCTCTCACTTTAACCTTGAAAAAAATCAGCTAGCCACTATGACAAATAGTGACAGGCAGATGATGATGATGATGATGATGATGATGATGATTGCCCTTTGTTGCACTTCCCTTTAAAAAGGCCTGAAATGACTTACAACATTATTAAAACCTGCCCTTGCTCCCAAAAGGCTCCTATGGGAGTTTGATTTTTAGCTATTGCCATTTGCCATGCTTGAGTTCAAGATTGCAGCTGGACAAAACAAGGGCTAAGCCTATCCCCTCACAAATACACATGCTACAATCCAGAAGCAGATTGCCCTCAAGTGATTACTTTTCATTTCTTTAACAGCCAATGCCATTATCACTGTATTACATTTATACCCTGCCTTTCTTCCTCTCTAAAGGAACCCAAGTGACTTACAAGGGTCTCCTCCTCTCCATTTGCTTCTCACAACAACAACCCTATGAGTGAGTTAGGTTGTGAGTCCATGACTGGCCCAAAGTCCCCCGGTGAGTTTCATGGCTATGTGGGCATTATAACCTGGATCTCCTAAGCCCCAGGAAAGCACTCTAACCACGATGCCACACTGGCTCTGCTGCAGCCAATCATTTTAATGCAAAGTGTAGCTTGGGCCTTAGCCACTCCCTTACACCAGCTTACATGCTACAATAGTTCAAAGCATTTTTCTCACCTAGCTGGCCCAAATTGCAAGCTTGTAACCACAAGTTGCGCAGTTTAGGGGAAGTTGTATCAGGGAGGCTTCTTCCCTTTAAAGTTGTTGAAGATGTGCCACTATCCTTTCAAATGCTCAGGAAGCAGGACCAAGCCTTCTGTCCTTCATTATGGAAAGACCCATTTTAGTGTGGTTTCTCTGGCCTGATTGATCACTGACGGGAAAAAGGCCTCCCTTCACCTTACAGCTGAAGCATTTCCTCGGGTTATATCTGTACTAACTGAAAAGTCTGTATGGCTTTTTAACAGGATTTTTTAATCCAGGAATTTTATTGTTTATCCTTTCCTTGTGATGCATACTTTATAGATTGCAGATTGGGTGTGAACAGGATAGTTTGGGGTTTCTTCCTGTTGTTTGGTAAAGCAATTTGGATGCTGACTCAATGGGAGAGAATGCAGAAAATAACCACAGAACTAAACAAGAACATTCTTGCAACAAAGCCTCTAGGTGGCTGCCTAATTCTGGTTCCATGTGCTGCTCAGAAACAATTGGTAGCAAAAAGCTCACCAAGAACCTTCCCCATAAATAAAGTCTGGAAAAGTCAAATGTGCAGAAAGTCAGTAGTTCATATTAAATGAGAAAAATGCAGCTAACCAAATAAACCCAGTTATGGTCTCAACTATACAACATCCAGGCAACCAAGTTTCTTATAAAAGGCTTTGGCGAATGGGGCGGCATAGAAGTCCCATAAATAAATAAATGAATGAATGAATGAATGAATGAATGAATGAATGAATGAATGATGACTTCAGCTGCTTTACTACTGTGTTGTTGTGTCACGTTGCAGCGGGAGACCCAGCATACGAACGGAACAGATGCGTGGGGCTGTATGCAGCATGCCATCTTTAAGAGTTTATATTTCAAGTGCATATCTCTGTAGTCCATTCATATTACATGGGTTTGCAAAGAGAATACACAGATGGCAGCATTTTGAAAGTGACTCAGGGCAACATGGAGCAGGTTATGCGCATTCTCATTTCTGGAAAGAAAAAGACACGATGGCAGAAAAACTCAATCTGTTAATGGAACATCTTCAAACATCTTTCTGGGAACTTGTAAATTTAAAAAGAGGGAAAAGAAAACCAGGACAGGCCAAAACAATGGAGCAAAAGAAAATAATTACATATAAGTTAAAAACTAGTTGACTAGCACCATCCAACACTTTGGGGTTTTGTTCATTTGCGAGAGCATCCTTGTCTGATTTGTAACCCACAATATGCGTCCTGCTCATTCTCTACAACTTAGCTTATTACCTTTCAGAATCAACCGATACACAAAAGGGTGATACCGTAACCTCACGCATTTTCTCCCTTTCATGTTCTTTTGAACATGAATAAGAATTTTGTGAAACTCAAAAGCTGGCACACTGCACTGTGAGTAGTGATTGATCCTAACTGAAACACATTATTTTAGCACCCCTATATAAAGTAAGGGCTATGAGGGCTTACTCAAAACTTGTACACAGAGAACCACATCTTTTAAATTCTGGATTAATGAATGCATATAAACTGTCATCCCTTGATCCTGCAGTTATATTAATCAAAGTTGAATTTATATTTAAATCTAAAGATCATTTACAAAAATGAAAAAGGACCTGAAAGAGTACAAAAGTCCATCTATTCATTACCCTCACATGAATAGGAAAGGGTTGTTAGAAGCATAAAGATAGTTTAAAGCATTAAATTATGCACATCTTATTTGTTTATTTAAAGAATTTATAACCGCTCTTCAGCTAGAAAAGTCCCCAGGCTGATAGGTACAGATACACCACTGAATTGTCTTGAGGCTCAATTTTCACTGCAAGATTTGCCATATCTGGGGGCATAAAAACTTATTTCATTCTCATCTTACTGATTTTCCCAGCATCCACAAAAGCAGTGTATGCAACTCACCTCTTTACCCGATGAAGGAACTTTATTTTACCTTCTTGAGGGTCTTTTTTCTAGTTTGTTTTGTTTCTTTCAAGGTCAAAATCAAATTGCTCCACAAAATTTCCTTCCTCCCTGCTTTTCTTCTTTTGCTTTGGTTAGCAAATTCTGTTCTTATATACTTGTTTGTTCTCATACTTTTCTATCATTTGTTTAGTCCAATATATCTTGCAATTGTGTATGCACATATAGAAGTAACTATACTTATAAGAATTTACTTTATTATCAGTTTATTTATTATGTTTCTGTAATGTCCAATAGCCAAATTTCTCTTTTTACAGCAGTTAAAATCATAAAAT